AGAAACTGCCTCTCCAGTTAACTCTTATTACATTGTAATAGCTAAGGCGAAGCGTCCATCGACCTGAGTAATGTTGAGTTGGCCATGCCTACATGATCACACGACCACTAAGCCCCGCCTACCCACCTGGTCATTAGGGCAGAGAACCGGTTGTTAAATTATTTGAATCCCACCACTGATGAAAACATACACATCTATTTGGGGAGCACTTTCTAGCATGGGAGAAGGTAAAGCTCACACTTTGAAGAGCTTTTGTAAAGAAAACGGGAGGCGTAGTATCTGAATTGGTTATTTTCCTCTTTGGGAAAAAAATACCAGTTAGCAGCCTCTCAAAGTAGATTTGTTCTTGATATTGCTACATCAGCCCTGTCTTGATTCATTGTTCTGCAGAAGGCATGCGTGTATTATTAAGGCATTTCCAAATAAAACCCCATTTTCATTTTGCATTTCTAAACCGGTCTGTTGGAAGGTATCTCATAGTTTAATTATTTCAGTAAACATCATCATGATACCAGATAGTCCTTTACTTCGTAATTTTTTTTTCCTCAGCAAATGCAAATGTACTGGTAATGAAAGCCACACAGTATTAATGATGCTGAAAATCTCTAAGGAAAACATTGGAGGTTCAACTCATAACACCGTGCCAGAATTACATGCGGGAAGAGTTTTACTTTCTTTTTAATAAGCTTTGTTTCTTAATTTAGTTTTGATTGGCGGTGAAATCCACAGTGGCACTTGAAGGCTTGCCATCCTCAGCACTTCTGCTCCCAGAGTCACACAAACATATATGTCCATCTGCAGCAGTGGTGGGTTTCCAATTTTTTTAGAACCTATTCTGTAGGTGTGGCCTGTTTTGTGGGTGTGGCTCGGCGGGCATGACTTGGTGGGCATGTGACCTGGTGGGTGTGGCCAACTTGGAAAATATGGTGAAACTCACTTAACAATGTTCTTGCTTAGCAACCAAAATTTTGGGTTCAATTATGGTCATAAATTCTCTTTCTTTTTCTTTCTTTCTTTCTTTCTTTCTTTCTTTCTTTCTTTCTTTCTTTCCTTCCTTCCTTCCTTCCTTCCGTCTCTCTCCCCCTCTTTCTTTCTTTCGTCTCTCTCTCCCACTTTCTTTTTCTTTTTTCTTTTTTCTTTTTCTCTCTTTCTATCTCTCTCTTTTTTCTCTCCCTCTCCCTCCATTCCTTCCTTCATTTCTTCCTTTCTTGTGTTTATCTCTCCTTCCTTCCTTCCTTCCTTCCTTCCTTCCTTCCTTCCTTCCTTCCTTCCTTCCTTCCTTCCTTCCTTTTGGAACGGGTTCCAAAAGGTACACTAAATTTCACGAACCAGTTCTGGCATACCGGTGCGAACTGGGAGAAACCCACCCTTGATCTGCAGGTGCCTTCAAGTTCTCCATATGAAATTTCCAGGAACAAAAGGGATAACGAAACTATTGCAAATTGCCTTGCTGCTCTACTTTATGTTAGCCAAGGTTTGCGGGAGCCTGAACAGCACCATTTATTTCTTATATGTCATTATTTCAGTCTTCTGCTTTTTGTGGATTACAGGTTAGCATTGGCAGCTTCCAGATAGTAGCACTTTATTCTTTATCTCTGCCAACCTCTTTTCTCTATAGTATCTTTGCTTTCACAGACATATCAAAGAAAACACCAAAAATGCCTATATATCCAAACACCCAAATTCAATAGACAGTAGATGTATAAAAAAAAGTTCCCCCATCTACATGTTTTTTTTTATTGGAAGATCTGGAATTAGTAGGGTATTAAATTAGCAGAGCTTTGGTTGAATAGCATATTTTGTTTTATTCCAGTCTTTATTAAATCAATATATTTGTGCTTTTAGAATTTGCCTTACACCCCTGATGGTCAACCTATGGCACACATGCCACAGGTGGCACACAGAGCCCTCTCTGCAGGCATGCAAACTATTGCCCCAGCTCAGTTGTACTGCGCAGGCATGCAGACGTGCCACCCAGCTGATTTTTGGGTCCCTGCCATGCATGCTCGGGGGAACAAGGGGCGATTCTTTCTGTTTTCCTGAAAGGCAGATAGAAGTATTAGTTATATCTAGTTGTTGTGACTCAGCAGAAGCTTGCTGTGAGTTGCGTCGCGATGCAGGAATAATGAGCAGCTGTTGCTCATTAGGGTCGTCTTCTGCAGATAAAAGACAGATGGTGCCACGCCTTAGTGGCAGAAGTCAACATCGTTCATCGGTCGTGGTTCATTGTTCGTGAGAGGCACTTGGATAAGTGATTTGCTTTCTGTAAACCTGATTCAAAGAGGCACTTGGATAAGTGATTTGCTTTCTGTAAACCTGGTTTGCTGTAAGAGCTTTTTGTTTTTGCTTTTGCTGTGTAACTTTTTGCCAGAGACTTTATCTACGTTTATTTTTGGGCTCGCAGCCAGCTTGAGCCAGGACTGATAAAGATATTCCCTTTGAAGTTCTGTCTGATTGTCATTTGTGAACGAGCGAAGAGAGGGGTCAGAACATCTAGTCATGGGCTAAGAATGATCTCATACAATGAAATTGCCAGTATGTATCACCCTAGTTTATAGATACATACAAAACTCAGGAGAACTTTGAGCACAAAATCTCTCTCCTTAAATAATATAGCTGACTAGACCACACAGTAGAGATCTTGCTACAGTATTTGCCTTTCCAGGCAATATTTTCTGAATGAATTCCCTCACCTCTTTGTCACAGGCATAACGAAATATACCAAGATCATAAATGGAGATTACCATTCACACATTTCACACTTTTTAGAGCTACTGCACTCAAAATTTTAATTGGCAACTCAAGACTCAAAAGAGACGCCGGTCTCAATACAAGTTATATTAATGACCCCCAATTTATTCTTCCTGCTGAGATGCAACTTGGGAGTAATACGGTTCTGCTTTTTGAAGCTACAGGTACCAACGAAGGGTGCATCAGGATTCCAGGAGTATTTTAAAGAAAATGCAATCTATCCAACCTAAATTGTTTAATTTATGTGATTTGGAATACCTTATCTTATTTTTAAAAAAATCTGGTGAAAGTTCCCTGCAATCTTTCATGATTGGTATGAAATAATTCCTAAAAAGTTCACATGTCCAAAATTAAATAGATCTCATTCCTTTCCACAAGATCAAATAGTTTGGATGAAGTTTCCTTATACTTGAATCAGACTGTAATTTTATATAGATCGGTATTATTGACACCGGCTGGTAGCTTTTTAACCTAGAGATCTGCAACGCATTATCTTCTACTTAAGAACTAGTCTTTCTACAAAAATGCAAATTCCAACAGTTCTCCAGAAAAGCTTATTTCACGTGTCATAAGTGTATGCCGTAATTTAAATATAGTGGGCCAGAGATGAGTGCAATCCAGTAGGATCTTCTGCTGCCTATTTCAAATGAAATGACTAAGTGCCATGCCTAGCATCACTCCTGCGGAAATCTTACTCATCTCAATGAGGCTTCTGACTGAAGGGTGCTACTCTGCTCTCAGAATACGAGAGCGTATATAGGTTGAGTCAAAATTGATGTACAGCATGTTATAAGTAATCAATCATTACAGCATTCACTTTTGCAATTCCATTCCCTATTCTGTCCATTTCCTCTCCCTTTGTCCTAAGATTTTGACGTACCGGGGTTTAATATTGAAGTAGTTTACAAAGCATGCAAACACAGTCCTTATGTAACAGTTTATAAAATTAATTATCATCTGCTTCACGATGACAGATGTTAAATGACCATCCGAATTGCTGGTTGCACATAAATTAGGGGACGCATCTAGATTGCATCGCCGTTGATTCTTTTAGCTTCTGAATCTCGAGAGCCCAGTCTCTGAAGCAAATCTTACATGAAAGTGACTTATTTCATTATTTTATTTTAAGTAATAACGTATTTAAGTCACTAGATTACCCTCCCTACGCAGAAAGGAAAATGCGCAAAGCATAATAATCCTGCTGGGTTCTTCTTATGTCTACTGAAAACTTGTTGACAGAACATGAATGGGCAGGAGGTACAAAATACTACAGATTTAGTTACTAAGCTGTGTTCCAAAATGAGTAACTTGGAGATATGAGGCTCACCCCTGCTGCCACTCAATGTTTACCCTTTTTATAATGTCAAAATGAGATTTCCCCCGGTTTAGCTATTCCTGCCCTTCACTTCTTTTGTTCATGGATTTCTCTTTTCGTTCCTTTCCAGTGCAAATTCTCCTGCTCACAAAATCAGCATCCTGAAGTTTATTTTTTTCTTCTTCTTCAATTCCTGCTGGAAGGAAGGAATGGAAATGTGTGCATGGATTTGTATGTTTTTGTGCGCAAGAATTGGTTGTTTTGCATGCGAGAGTCTATAATTTTAAACACTATCCATTTTAAATAGAGATAGATGGGAAATGTGGAAGAGACTGCCTTAGTCTTGTCCCTTGAATAGCTTCTACAATTTATATAAACACAAATGCCAAAAGGCACACATACATGTAAAAAATGGCACCTGCGTACTTTTTTATGAGGAAATGAAATCTCCAGGACTGGTTTCAGCTGGAGTTGTCAATCTTGGTTTGACAAGATATGAATGCTGGACAGTGCAGAGGCTTTTCGACTGAATCTGTCACTTTCCCCCCTATTTATTCTTTCAGAAGGATCACCTAAATTAGAGAGCCATCCTCCATTCAGTGTGCAATATTCAGCTCATGTCAGAGTAGCACATTTCATACTTTGCAGTTAAGAAAGAAAATAGCAGGAACACATCATCGAATTCTGTATATTTAAGGGGAAAATGGTACGTTTTAATCAGCTCTGAAAAACCCAACTGTTATAGCTACAGGTTGCTGGATTATTTTCCTAAGCGCCACGCAAATCCTGCAGAAGCCATTGTCTTAATATAAAATATTACCTGGCACAGTACAGAAATTCAAAAATCATTTATGGCTTAAATCTTTAAAAAGCTGGGGGGAAAAAACCACCAAAACAAATTTATCATCCAATTTAACAACCATGCCTTTTGAGCCAAATCAAAACTTTAAAAAAATTATATAGGTCATGACACAAACGAAACAGATTTAAGTTAAATGCAAGGAAAAAAAATTAAGTTGGTTAATTATATACAGTTCATGGGATTATTGCAGGGGCAACTAATATTTATTTTTCCTTTCCAATGTGTCGAAAGTTAAAGATTTAATAATAACCTTTGTGGGGGTTCTTATGGATACATGCAGTCATTTCAGGGCTGTCTGTGGTTCTGAGGCCTAAAAAATGAAGCCGTGATAGAATACCATTGGCTCAAGAACCACTTTCCTTCATTCAACTAAACCTAAAAGGACTACTTAACTCTTCAGCCTTAAAAGCTTCTAATGCTTCCTCTCCGCTGGACGTTCTTCAATCCCATGACAAACAGTGCCGGCCAGTCTTAAACTAAATATGTTGCTCTTGATGTAGCAGACAGATATTATTCTGTTTCTCTGAGAGATCTATGCTCTATGCTTAAAGATAAGATTTATACTTTTTGACTTACCATCCCGCAGAAGGTCTCCGGTGGATTTCCACATGTTATATTAGGTGGCTCCAGGTTTACTTTAACGTGTTTCATCATATCTATGGCTTCAGGCTGACAGGCTGTATAATCCCAGATCTTGTCTTCATCCATATAAATCTGTGTCTTGCACACATCGTAATGTCCCCAAACGGAAGGATAATGTTGCATTACCGAAGACACAGTAACCCACAGGGCATGGAGAGAGAGGAATCTTGACAAATACATCTCTATATCCTTTCGAGTGCCTTGACAGCAATCACCAATATGGAACTAAGTGCAGTCTTTATTATACATAAATATACATGGGGAGAGGCAACGTTATTGCAGAATATGTTCCAAAGGAGAGAAGAGCTTAAGTTACAACAACTGTGTTTTTAATTTTGGAAACTTTGGTGGAAGCCAAGCATATTATACGTCGTTCAAAGCCAAGTGAAGGATGCTTGCTACATTCCCAGGAGTTTCAGGACTTTTAATCACTTATGCAGATAATGTCCAAATCCAGGTAACAATTTAGCAGTGTTGCCAGGCCACAGCTGTATCGTCAATAATCCCGAGCGATCCTCCGTTTTTTCCGGCTCATGAGGAACAGCCAGCCAAACTGATGAATCAGCCGATAGACCCAAAATGATGAGTGTTTACAGTCTGTTTGCCATCAATCATTCTTCTCTTCTGGCACCAGGACCCTTCTAGAAACAATAAAAGTAAGAGTTACCGTTCCAGGATCAATGCAATAGAAAATATTTGAAATGTTGACATTTTGAGGGCCTTGCTCAATACAAGGTAAATTGGGGGGAAAAAATCACAGGGTAACCTTTACAGGAAGAACTTTTCTAAAACAAACCAAATGTCTAAATCACTCATCTCCAAAATTATGTTGACAGGAGAGGTTTCACTCTCATTTTCATCCATCTATCTATCTATCTATCTATCTATCTATCTATCTATCTATCTATCTATCTATCTATCTATCTATCTATCTANAAAAGGAGGTAAAAAGGGGTGGGGGGTGTTCCGTTTTCTTGCTTCAACGTTTTAATATCTTGAATGAAAGTACTGAGACATAGAGAGAGGTTAGACAGAGTGTCTTTTGTCTTGCCCCGGTTAGGATTTCTTAAGCAAATCCACTGGTCTTTTAACATGAAGCCAAAAAATCGGGACTTTTTAAAAACGCTGCAGGACACGGGACAAATTGTTAGAAATTGTGACTGTCCCGCCAAAATCGGGATGTCTGGTCACCTTACCTGTGAGCCAAAATGGGGCTCATGGGGAACCTGGAAGGGGCGGGGTAAGGTAAGGTTGTGAGCCTGGTGGGGATGGTGGGTGGGGTGCATGAAGCTCCGGGGAGGGGGGGATAGTGAGACTTACCTGTAGGCAGGAGGAGGCAGCTCAGTTGGGGTACAGGGCAGGTACCATGTGGCAGCTTAGGCAGGCAAGGCTGCTTAGGCAGGCAAGCCACTTGGGAGGTGAGGAGTGACTGGGTGGGGCTGGTGGGTGGGGTGAGCATTTAGAGAACTGGTTTGGGGGCATGGCAAGCCTGGGTCGCTGCTGGTTTCAGTGACCCAGGCCGCCAAGCCACTATTTACTCGGCCAACTGGCCCAAATCGGTAGGAATTCACCTATGAGAGAGAGAGAGAGATCAGCCCTATTATTCTCCTTCCATATTTTCCATCTTAAACTTATTTTCTTAATACATAAATAATATCTCTAGTTGCCCCTTCAAAGCTAACCCAATTATCATTTCATATTTCTTCTGTAGTCTATTTTACCCCAGTAAAACCATCTAGCTATTTTTTCTTCTTCTATATTATCTTCTTGTTCTTCAATTGAGCCCTTTTTTACCCCCTTTTGTCCTATTTCTTGGTCTGAGTGCTCCATCTAAATTTCTGACTTTTTTGCCACTTAAAATTTCACACACAATTTTTAACATCTCAAATAATACATTATGCATCCATAATACCAAATTAACTGATTTAATGAATTATAAAAAAATTAAATTGTATCACATTTAATCCTCTCATGTACATAATCCCTTTTACATCATATTTCTTTTTCCACTTTCAACCCTATTATTTTCTTTGCATATTTTCATCTTAAACTTATTTTCTTCTTAATACATAAACAATATCACCAATTGCCCCTTCAAAATTAAACCAGATTATCCTTTCCTCTTTCAACTTTTATTCTATTTTACTATACGCAGCATATATCCTCAAATTCAGTTTTTACATTGAAAGCATTTAGCTCAATTAGTTATCCACCCCTTATATCTCCCTATTATTTTCTTTCTATATTTTCTATCTTGTATTTGTTTTCTTCTTAATACATAAACAATATCACCAATTGCCCTTCAAACTTAAACCAAATTATCCTTCCTCTTTCATCTGTTAGTCTATTTTAGTATAAGGAACATATATCCTCAAATTCAGTTCAGTTTTTACATAGAAAACATTTAGCTTAATTAATTATCCACAATTAATAATATTATTATAATTCCCTTGTATGTTAATTAACTACATATCATTAACAGTACTAATACGATTTCCTTCAATCTACTAATATATTCTTTCTTTCCCTTTCTCCTCTAACCATTTTCTCTAGGTCTCTGAAAGATTCAACTTCTTTTTATTTTTTTTCTTTCCTCCCATTCTCCTAACTTTTTCTTTTTATTATTTTTATAATTCTTATCTCTTTTCTTCCAAGTCTTTTTTCTCACTTGTAATTTTATTGTTCTAACAATTTTCCGCAGGGTTTTTCCTCACCTTTTCTTGCTTTCCCCTTCTTTGCTGTTTAATTGCTTCTTTTTGTTTATTTATTTTTTGTGCCACTGTAAATCCCAGTGAAATCATCTAGCATTTATTTTCAGTTTCTTTCATGTTTTCATCTTGTTCTTCATTTGAGTCCTCTTTTACCCCCTGCTCTTCTATTGGCTACCTTGTGCCCTGGTCTAAGTGCTCCATCTGCATTTCTAGCTTTTTCTTACCATTTATAGTTTCACACACACTTTTTAGCATCTCAAATAGTTCATCATATATCCAGAGCTCCATAATGCCAGTTAACAAATTTAACAATTTTTAATTTTTTTAGATTGTATCACATTTAATTAAAACTTAAAGTCCATGCAGTCCCTTTTTTCCAGATTCTAAAATCCAATTTTAATATTAGTCCAGTCCAAGTTGAGGATTAATTTTCTTCCCCAGCCATAGACAATCAAAACCAAACACTGTTGCAAAAACTTTAAAGAGGTCATTTGAATATGGCTGCCACCCCCGTTGTCAGAGCTTTTCTCTGACCTACTGAGGAAATTGCCTGTTCCTCTTGGTCGTCCGAGACGCCTCTCCTACTTCTCCGTCCCTTCAAGATGGTTCTGGACCCCCTGACAGAGGTTTGTCTGGTTGGATTTCGTGGTGCTCCACAGAGCCCACTATTTTCCAACCAGTCTCGTCGTGATACTTCTGGTTTTTTCCACATACTGTTGTTGTTGTTGTTGTTGTTAGTTGCAAAGTCATGTCTGACCCATCATGACCCCATGGACAACATTCCTCCAGACCTTTCTGTTCTCTACCATCCTCTGGAGTCCATTTAAGCTCACGTTTACTGCTTCAATGACTCCATGCAGCTACCTCATTCTCTGTCGTCCCTTTCTTCTTTTGCCCACAATCTTTTCCAGCATTAGGCTCTTCTCCAGTGAGTCCTTCCTTCTCATTAGGTGGCCAAAGTATTTAAGTTTCATCTTCAGGATCTGGCCTTCTAAAGAGCAGTCAGGGTTGATCTCCTCTAGGACTGACAGCTTTGATTGCCTTGCAGCCCAAGGGACTCGCAGGAGTCTTCTTCGGCACCATAGTTCAAAGGCCTCAATTTTTTGGTGATCAGCCTTTCTTATGGTCCAAACTTCACAGCTATACATTGCAACTGGGAAAACCATAGCCTTGACTATACGCACTTTTATTGGCAGGATGATGTGATACTGTAAGGCCAACAAAAGAGATCGGCCTGTGCAATTCAGGAAGGAAGATCCTTCACCAGAAAACCCAATTGTGAAGGAAAAAGCTACTAACTTAGCTTTCTCACTGATACATTTTTCTATGAGTAAAATTTATATTTCACGATGAAGTAGCCAATCATGCAAGTCCTCCTTTGCAGTAAAACTAAGTCATCTGTCATTTGTAAGAACTCAGCACAAGCTCCATGAAATATAGGACAGCTACAGCATATGCAGAGAGTGAGTTTGGTGTAGTAGTTAAGGCATCAATCTAGAAAATAGAAGATGTGAGTTCTAGTGCTGCCTTAGCACAAAGTCAACTGGATAACTTTGGGCCAGTTGCTCTCAGAAGCAGGCAATGTATATTCCACTTCTGAAATCTTACCAAGAAAACTGGCAAGGGACTTGTTTAGCCAGTCACCAAGTCAACACTGAGTCGAAGGAAGGAAGGAAGGAAGGAAGGAAGGAAGGAAGGAAGGAAGGAAGGAAGGAAGGAAGGAAGGAAGGAAAGAAAAAAAGAAAGAGAAATGAAGAAAAAGAAGAAAGGAAGAATGAATTAGAATTTGCAAAGGGCAACTACATATGATTCTAGCTGCATGACCAACACTAGATGTTAGGGTTAGGGTTAGATGTTTGCAATATGTCACTGCTGAACAGAGCCTCCTGGCTCTGTTTCCTTCGTCCATCTTCTCTGAAATGGTACATAGTATTCCACAATGTATTCTACAATGACAAAGTAGGCTTCCTTATGATGACGTGATTCTTGGATGCATTGATGTGATTTTCTAGACAACAATAATCCAGAAGGGTTTAGTGTTATCTTTTGGAATGTTTACTTCCTGGTCTAGCTTACTGGCCTGGGATTTCCTTGTGTTCTCCCTCCAAGGGCTAAAACAATTTGTACTGTTTCTGAGGTAAGTCAAGGTCAGTTAGGTGCTGCCGTGTGCTGTCTTATAAGTCAGGAATCATAGCCTCAAGGCTATATGCTGTTTCTGGAAGCAAATCCAATAGCTTGTCCAAAGATTGGGTTTTTTGAAATCCTACTGCCATTGACCAGACAGCCACCCTCAGCATCTTGCTCAAGATTAGATGCAGCCCCTCACTGCAGAAAGGCCACTTAACTCAGTGCAAACTGGGCACAGTTGCAATAGCCAGCAGTTCAGAGGCTGATGAAGTTGAGCCTTTGAAATGGCATGTGTATCTTTGAGACAGTGCTAGAGACTGAAGAGCATATTATGCCTAGCAGAATATCCTGTTGGTTCACATCTGGAGTTGCAAGTTCAGAATAAGCCTTAAAGGAAGACAGGACTTAAAGCAGTAAACAATCAAGAAGCAATTAGAAATTCTTCTTCCCTTCCTGCTGATAGAAATAGGTGAAGGAGATCACACCAGGTAACAAAAATGTTCAAGAAGGAACAGAGAGAGAGGAAATACTGGGTGGATTTTCATCAAGAATACACAGATCTTTTCCACATTCAGTCATAACCTGAAGCACATACGTAAGGCAGAGCATGATGCATCTGTCTGATTAATTAAAGGATGCTCCCGCCGATACAACGGGCTCAGGGGTAAAAGCTTGCTTCAGATCCTAGAATTATGCCTTAGCTTGAGAAGACCAACAGAATAAAGTGATAACCAATAAAATGAGTTAAAATGGATATATTACAAACTCAGATATAAAACATCTATAAAAATTACAAAGGCCATCCCAAATACCATGTATCCCCTATATGCCTACCAGAGCATTATCCTTCTGAATGCCATTTGCTGAAATTCTGTAGCCCCCAAAAATCAGGGTAAGAAAAGTGTAGTTTTCCATTTTAGCATGTAATTTGTGTGTATTTGCTCCAGAACATTCCTGACATGAATAAGCAGCTGGATTTTTTGGACAGTGGAAATCGCCTCATATACCATGACATGAAAGTTCCAGATGTTTGAAATTATCGAATTCATGAAT